TCTGGAGTTTTTCTGCTTGTTTTTTTTTTGGGTGGTTTAACTTTAGTTAATCTCAAACATTTGTGTGATTTCTGTTTGTTTGCAGGAGAGTCGGAGCTCAGTCGGCAGTGCTGGATGTTTGACCAGCAGGCCCTTCAGGAGTACATCCTTCTGTGCTGTCAGAATCCAACAGGGGGCCTTCTGGATAAGCCTGGCAAGTCAGTACCTCACCATCTGTCCCACACACACACAGTGAACAGTCAGATTGGATTCATGTGATTCCGTACGTCACAGTCCTCCTTGATTTCCTCATGTTTCCAGGTCCAGAGACTTTTACCACACGTGTTACTGTCTTAGCGGCCTCTCCATAGCACAACACTTTGGAAACTTGGAGCATTACAACGAGGTGATCCTCGGCAAGGAGGAGAACCGGCTGGTGAGTGCAGCAGCCAGTCAGTGACAAAAAGGTTGATTAATCCAACACTTATGGTATATTTAAAAGAAAACGTGGATTCTGGCAAAAGATGAAGTGTTTTGGTTTAATAAGAAATCTCCTGAGTTGGATCTTTTTAAAGACTTGAGTTAATGGCTGCTTTGTCTAAACCTGCTCATAAACGATTCATATCTTCTAAATCAAGCGTCCTTTCCAATATAAAGAGCCATTTTGCCAAGATTTCGGCTAAGTAAAAGTCATTTAGAGACGCAAAATATCACATGACTTTTTGATATAACAACTTATTTTGTTAAATTGCTGCCTTAGGAAGTCCACTAAAATTTAAGAAAAAACCATGAAACAATTCATTAAGATGAAGCATAGATCTTCTTCTATAGAGTATCATTTGATGTAGAAAAATTATGAAAAGAAAACGCATCAGTTTCAAGTTAATTAAAAAAGGGCTCTAAAAACATTTCTAGTTCTTTTAACGTTAATCTGTTGTGAAAATTCTATTGAAATATTCTTTATAAAACCACCTAAGCTTTAAAGGCTGATGTTATTGTAGTACATTAGTTATTTTATATAATTTTAGCCATCATTAGAAGCCATTGAAGAGCCAAGAGCCACTGCAGATCTCAGACCTTTAGTGTCACCTTAAAGAATAAGATTTAGTTGCATTGAAAATCGTAAGACTATTTTGTTTCTTTTTAACATGTAAAACCAATTAGTTAATCTGAACATGTAGACAGATGGAGACCTTATTATAGAAACATAATTGAAGCAGGAAAATATGCCTCAAATGAACATAAATGGTAAAAATCTAAATTTGATCATCAAACCAGCTGGTTCAAGGATGCAGATATCAGGAAAATTCCTTTTTCAGATGTTAAAGTGAAATTCAAATAATCTGCTTCAACTAAGTTGTTAATTTTAAGGGGGTGAATAAACCTCTGGTTGGGTGATTGTTAAATATAAAGCACAATAAAAACGTGTGCAAAGTATCTGATGCATTAGGCTCCAATGTTTGCACACTTTAGATGCATGAGTTTAAGAAAAGATTTTTGCTCTCCTGTTTCCAGTAATTAATTTAACAGAACAGGCGTCTGTAAGGATACGATAGATGGATGGTTGGTACAAAAACAAGAAAACGCCCTAAATGTTACAAATATGCCGAGAAATGTAATCCAGATGTGGGAATGGGCTCAAGATATTTATTTGTTTGACTTCCATTTTCCTTTATAGGCTCCCACTCACCCAGTATACAACATCTGTCCTGACAAGGTGGCTCAGGCTGTGCAGCACTTCCGCCAGTTGCCCGTCCCGCACGCCAGCAGGCAGGCAGGACCGTCTGCTGACTCCAACCCTTCAGAACCAGCCTCTGGTGCTGCAGGGAGTCAGTCATAGGTGGATCGTCGGCTTCAACCCGCTCACTCTGACCACAGGACTAGACCCAAGCAGGGATCGGTACGGATGAAAAAAGGGAGCAGACTGGACGACCATCTGGAGAACTTCTGAGGGATTCCTACTCATGTTTCTGACAGTGTTTTCTTTTTTTTTTTTTTATCCGATGAAAGGAAATTGTGACTTTAAATGATTTCAGTATCACCTGACTTAATAAAAGTTTATACAGCAGTTCTCATAATGGTGCCTTCATGTTTGAGTTCTTATACCAGACATCTGAGGTCGGGGATTTAACCCCTACACAACCAAGATGGCGTGTGCATTCCCTCACTGCCAGTTATGACTGATCGCTATTCACTGGATTGCTGATGGGCCGTTGGTAGAACATGTTGCTGCTAAGTCACCAGCCGCCATATTGGCATACCCTAGTTGGACTGCCCGTAACGTAAACATTACATCAAAAAATGATTCTCATTTTCAGAGGGGTTTAATACTTTTAAAATAAAGATAAAATCATTACTTTGATACACATTCATATCACTAGATTGCAATTTATGACAAAAAAAATAGGCACGTAGTGCATATTCAGTATGAAGTCTATAAATCATGTAATTATACAAATCCATCACAATAAAAGTGTGTTAAAGAGGCATAATACTGTACTTGGATATTATTACATTCGCACACTGATGTGCCAAATGTGATAAACTGATGTACATGTAATATACATTTAATTGCATGACATTAAAGGCATTTTATAGCACATTCCCACGAGAGTGGGGAGTACCAAGATTGCGGCAGGTGACTTCAGTTTTTTCGCCCTATCAGCAATTCAGTGAATACAGATCTGTGGTTATTATACATTTAGTGTGGACCTAGGAACCTTTGGCAGGCTCTTGTTTCCGTGACAACTGATGTTTTTAAATTTGAAATGTATAATTTCTATACAATTCTAAAATAAATGGAAAGTGCAAAAAGTACATTTGGCAACTACTTAAAGGCAAACTCTAAATTCAGGTGTCATGGGTTCAACTGAATGTTGCAAAGGAAATCTAAATTGCTCAGGGATCCTGAACAGATGTGGAGAGTAATAGGATGGATGTAACTATCAGAACAGGAAATTTAGAAATTAAATTTTTCAGACATTACCAGAATCCATATGTTCAGACAAACATGTGAAATGAGATTCAGTCTGTGGGTGTGCAATGATCCCATCTTTGATTGTGATATATTAGTGATTAAAAAACTCACTGGGTAACTGAATTTTACTCTATTGCAGTATTGGCAAATTTGAAGAATATGATTAAATGGTTACTGCAGGATGTTTAGAGATATTAATTATGTTTTATGTACCGGTAAGTGGTGTCCCATTTTAAATGTGTGTATTTTTTAAAATGTAGTTTAATTGTGGGACTTCAATAGCTCTGACATGCAGTCACAGCTTTAACTACCTAAAATCGACTCTCAAAGGATTGAGTTTTTAATCCAAATATACCAAAAAAATTAAGATTTAGGACCATAATCCCCCAATAATAGTCTGAACTAGGGATGCACAATATTGGGATTTTGGCCGATATCCGATATGCCGATATTTTAAAACTCATGTAGCCGATAACCGATATCGATACTGATGTTAAAGCTGGACAAAAATAAGTAGTCATTGAAAATAGCAGTTTTATCCATTTCTGACACTTTGAAAAATAATGTACTCAAATATATTTTCATATGCTGATATCAAATTGATTTTTTAAAATGCGGTATCGATCTATTTCACTTTCAAAATCTCGTGAAATTTCATCGTTCTGTTACAAACTCATGATATTTTGCAAATTCTTGTGAGATTTTGTTAGTACAATATATCGATACCGCGTCGATGTATCAACATATAGAAATGTGGCAAAATTTCGTGAATTTTCGGGGGATTTCGTAGCATAACGATGACATATAGCAATATTTCATTAGTAAAAGAGATTGATATGGTGTTTTTAAATGGCAATATATCAGCATATGAAAATATTGTGATATTTTAATGTATCAATATTTTTTCCCTCGTCTTTAGAAGTTTTTGAGGAAGAAGAAGTAGTTTTTTTTTAGACTTTAAAAACTCAGATCTTTAAAAACGCTGATCAAATATCGGGTTAAATATCGGTGGGGTGGCCGATGTTAGATATTCAGTTTTAAGGCCGATACAGGCCGATACCGATAGGGGGGCGATTATATCGTGCATCCCTAGTCTGAACCATAATAAACAAGGACTTATCAACCATCAGCAAACATTACATTCATTTCCACCTAAAAACAGAATCTTGTAAAGGATAAAATAGTTTATTTTATAGTTTCATAGTAAAGGTAGGCCTCAACTTGCAAGACAATTGTTGGCAGTATGTACAACATACTTGTAATTTCCATGGAATGGAATCAGACAAAGACCTACCACACTAATTACATCCTCCTAAGTGGAAATAAAATGGAAACAATATACATACACACGTCTCCTAGAGATTTATTTTTCCTCAGAGAGAGGGGGGGAGGGGATAAGCAACATTAAGTTTTTACTGTGTGAAGCACAACACGTCGACAGGGAGCCGTCTGGCCTCAGACGCTACCTTGGACATTCAATAACCTAGTTTATACCCTTTAACAAGACTACGTGCGACAAATTGGGCTTTTCTCCATGACTTGTGTCGTTACAGAAAATGCATAAATGTTTTGAAAACATCCAATCAATGCTTTGAATAATATATAAATGAGATGCCTAACGTATCCAGCCACCTAAAGTCATTCACTACTTCAAGCTAAAAGGACAAAATACGATACAAAGTTCAGGAATATTCTCCTTTAAAACATCAACTTCAACAAAAGGACTTTTTTTTTATAGATATATATGTAATTTGTGTTAAAGGTGACAGGCAGAAAACGTCTGCAATTCAGTGGGCCTGAGGTGGGAGATTGCTAATATTTGCTCAAAGCATCTTCACATTCTTGAGTGAAAAAAAAAAGCTAGAAATCTTTTTACATTTTCAAAAGGGGGGGATTTTTTTGCTTTTTTTGGACAGTTCTAGGTGTGTGTAGTAACTTAAACATTAATTTCATTCTTCAATAATCAAGCATAAAAATAAAACAAATACAATAAAGCAGTGCTTGGAGGAGTACACCTGGCTCCCCCTCTTGCCCCATTTTGAAGAGAAGGGGAGGGGCTTTCTGTCAGGTACAAAAAGCATCAAGTCCTTGAGTTGCCAAGCTGCCTTTTTTTGGGGGGTTTTGGATTGTTGTTGCTGAGAAAAAGGTCGGGATGGGGAACCCATGATAGGAGAAAAAACTAAGAAACATGGATGGGTAAAGTTTGGGAAACCTGAAGCTCTCTAGATGGTCTGAAGTAGTCGTCCTCTTGCTCCTTCACTGCTGGAAGGACAAACGATGGCGGTGGGAGATTCTCAAGCACCAGCCCGACAAGAGATGGAGGAGAGAGAGCGACGAGGGGAGCTGAGGGGGGGGTGAGTTGATGCACAAAGAGGGAGAGGGGCTTATCGGAGAGCTGCGAAGGCTTTAATTCCTCTCACCCGTCCCCTGTGCCCCGCCACCCCCGTCCTTAGCCAGTTTTCAGCTTATTGACTCTAGCTGGCTTCTACTCGCAGCTTCTTCCTGGTGGGCGGCTCCTCCACCTCCGACTCAGAGCTGGAGTCAGAGCCGCCGTCGAATGCCGACACGGCGCTGCCTTTTGGGTTTGTGTAAAGGCTGCTGTCAGGTGAAGAGTAGCTGGTCTGGAGCTGCGTGGAGCCTTTTACTTTCTCCAGAGCACGGACTGAAGGAAGGAAGACAAAACAAAAACATGAGTGGCTGAGGTCATCTGGTAGAGCCAAGAACAGCAGATGGTGATCAAAAATAGCACATGATTTAATGAAAAACATTTTTAAACCAATCAAAATCAGAAATATCGGGAAACGTATAAATCCCCCTTTACTCTGATACCCTAAATAAAATCCAGGGCGACTAAAGTTATTAGTTATTAACATTCAACCTATTATAACAAATAGGAAACCTAGCAGGACATGAATGTCCACCTAAGCTGAAGTCAGATCAGGGACATTTATTACTGCAGGAGCCAAGAGGCTCTTTGGACCTCTGGAGGAACTGTAGAGATCAACAGCTCGGGTGGGATGTCTTAGGATGTGGCTATTAGTTGTGCACGACACAAATCTGGACTTTGTGTAAAAAAGGAAGCCATGGGAAGCCTGATTTAAGGTTAGCCACAAGCTAACATGTTGATTAAAGGAAACAAAAATAGCAAAGCTGTTTTCACAGGCTGAGCATCAATGGAACCGGTTGGATTATGTGTTTAAAGAGATAGACAAATTAAATCATAGATCATAGGAGATTTAGGCCCTTTTCTCTTAATTTAGATTAAAAAGGAGCAGAACCATCCATAACCAAAGAGCAATCTTGGGGCAACATCATTCTAATCTTGCCTACATAGACCAAGAGTTACTTAGATCGATTTAATGTTCGTGATGCTTACCATAAACAAACAAAAAAGCGATGATGCATGTTTTTTTTTTTTTTCTTAAATAAAAAAAATTGCAAAAGCATGAGACTTTGCTTTGGATCAATTTCTAATGTATACCATCACAAAAACCATTCTGCTTGTTTCATTTGAATGTTGCATGCAAATCAAAATAAAGAAAACAGTTTTTTACATTTTTAACAAACAATTGCCATTCTAGCGTTTTAAGGCTTTAGGACATTTTTGGCTCCCTTTTCTAAAAAGTTTGGAAACCACTCATTTAGATCCTGTCTCCAGAGGGCTTCAGAGTTAGAATCAATTTATTCCTTCATAAGGCAAACTCCCTACAGCGTGTTCGCATAATGAGCCGATGACAGGAACATTTGATTCAGGCATGTAGGACTGCCTAACAGTTAAAGACCACTTCTAGGATTGTGGGTATGACATTCCTTAGTTGAAATAAAAGCATATTCAGGAGTTGGAATGGCCTAGTCAACGTCCAGACCTAAATCCGTTTGACAATCCTGGTCGTTATGTAAAGACTGCTGCTCAGAGAGGCGGAGCTTCAATTCTGTAACATGAACAGCCAACAATGCTAATTTCTAGATATGCAAAGCTGGTTAAAAAGTTACCCAGAAAGACTTGCTGCTGCAAAAACTAAATCAGCAAAAGGGGGATAAATACACATGCACATAAAATGCTGATATTTGAACAAAAAAAAATATATGCTCTGCTTTCTGTTGATCTAACATATCAAACTCATTAACTTCTAATGTGACAAAATGTAAAAAAAAAAAAAAAGGTTTAAGATGATGAACATTGCTTTCCACTGCAAGTTCCTTCCTGTAATTCAAGTCCATCGTATTTTCTCTACATTGCAGGAACACTAGGCAACCAGCAACTTCATGCAAACTCAGCAGTAAAATGCGATGTAATCCTGCATCTGCTCAGACCCACAGAGAGCCAGACTTCCAGCACTGGTTACCTTGCTGCTCCAGCAGAGCGTTCTGCCTCTTCAGGTCGTCGATGTCCTGCTGGTGCGTGTGGTTTTTTCGCCTCATGTACTGGATGTACTCTGTGGCTTTGTCTAGGATTTGAGCTCGAGACGCCTGTTTGGTAGACTGCTGTTAGTGACACATGCAAAAAGTGAAGCAATGACACAGACATCACAGAAAATTCAGCACATTTTTCACACTTCAACTGCAGGGAATCTGGTACATTGGTGGGTTTTCTAAGCCCTTCCCCCGTTAGCTGCTAAAGTCTGTTCACATCCTGGTCTGACAGAGTGGTGCATAACTCTGGTACTGAGCATGCTCCTTAGATAGTCAGAAGAACAAAAAACACCTCAATCAGAATCATTCCCCTCATTTAAACCTTTAATTTGCAGCCATTAACTTTATCAATCCAAGTTAAACACTTTAAATAAAGAAAATAAATCCTGATACATTAGTGTAATTTTCTACATCAACAATTTAACCAAAATTATTCATTTTCATTTAGCAAGTTCTATACATTTATGATAGATGTTCTAAGACTTAAATGTTAAAAGACAATACTCACAGTTGTAGCTAAAACAGGAAAAAAAAAAAACAATACATTTATCCCCCATTGATTTAATTAAATAAGTATGGATGCCACTCATTAAAACTGTAAGGAGAAGAAAGCAGGTTGTTCAATTAGGGAGCGAGAAGTAAAAAAAAAAAGACTATCCCATACTAACCTACAGTCAGAGGTTTTAATAGTCCAACCGTAGAAAAGCTGATTTAACACAAGGTTATCCTTAACAAATGTCTATTGGAGAAGATAGTGAAGGAATTAAAATAATAATTGACTGTCAGGACTACAGCTAAGAGTGGAACTGACAACCATGAGGAGCTAACAAAGTCAAACAGCTGCTTGGAAAGCATGCCACAATAAAAGCCTTTTCTGTCATGTTTGGACTTAAAGCACAGAGAAAAAACAATTCTCACATGTTTTCGGTCATTAAGAAGATCTTGATCTGAAGACCTCCAGCTCTAGACGGAGGGTATAGAGTCACAAGGTCATTAAAGGAAGGAGGAGGAGTCAAGTTATGCATCATTTAACGACCCAGAAAGATGGTTTAGGTACTAAAGCTGCATCTGACTGGCAGCCAGTAAAGGTGGATAAAATACTGGTGCTTTCAGCACAGAAAAGGGTCTTAATAAGAATTTAGTGGTTGGGTTTTGTAAGCAGGAAACTGCAGTAATTTAGGATATAAACACAATTAAGAGGGGCTTGTTGGACTGCATGTTTCTAATAACTGTACCCAGAGAAACTAAACACTGGATGTACATTTATAATCAGAGATAAGCCAAATAACTTAGAATATTTAAGCTTACAAGATTTTCTGGATTATGCACAATGCTATAAAGGAAATCTTTGAAAACATCTGATCGTAACTGGACAAAAGGATCATGCTGGATAGACCTAAAGATGCGTTCTAGTGGAGGCCAGCCAACAGTATCCATGGCATACTCATTCTACATGAGATCATCATTCACCAAGTAGAACCCAGCAAAGGTTCAAACAGTGGAAGGCCATCATGTCTGTCCTCCATGTTTCAGGTGTTTCTCTGCGTCCACATGTACCCCCATTTACACTACCCTTGAAAAACCGTGCCGAGACCGGTCCGAGCTCAGTAACTGAGATAACTTATCGTGTGAAAATGGAAAGCAAACTGAACTGAACCGAGACAGACACAACCGAACTGAGATAACTGCAGACCATTCCAGAGGTGGGCTCGGCTCGGTTCTCTGATAACAAGAGCGCATGAGCAGAACGCGTCATCTGGCTGCACATCCCGATTCACACTCCATCGTAGCTACTTCCAGTAGCTGGCGGTAATGGCCCTCCAAAAACAAAAGAAGAACAACTTCTTCAACTATAAACATCGAAATCTTCTCCACGCAACATTTTAAACAATAACACCGAAGTACAGCAATAATAATCAAGCATAACTTTCTAAATGTGACGGGCGCCGCCATTTTGATTTGCTTGATTCTCTCCTTCGTCGTCTTCTTCTTGTGTTTTATGGCGGCTGGCATTACCACCACCAACTGCTTGATTTCCTCCTTCAATACTGGCAGTAATACCGCAGATCATCACTAGGATGCGAGGAACCGAGATAGCGTGATGTGTAAACGGTCGTCAGAACCGAGCTCGGCCTGGTTAACTGATCCGAGCTCGGACCGGTCTCGGCATCGATCGGTTTTTCAAGGGTAGTGTATAGAAACACCTTAACAGGCGACTGAGGACATAACCAGGAGAGATGTTCATCCTGATCCTGAACTCAACTATGTGCATCCAATTATGGAAATATTCACACTAGTGGCCTAATGGCAGTCACACTGTAGAGTCTGATCAAATACAAAACTACTGAAAGGGATTAAAAAAATACAAATAAGTAGGGCTAAAGCAATTAATTGGATTAATCGTGATTAATCGATCATTGAAATACTCGTCAACCAAATTTAGTAATCGATTAATTGTTAACTGGAGTGTAGAGACTATAAAACAGGTCTTCAACTGACAGAGCGACCCAATCAGGGCAGTAATTATATCAAAATTGTAAAATATATAAACATTTTGCATTTTAGAGGTTTTCATCGAAAAATAATTAACAGATGAATCGGTTTACAAAATATTCTTGCAGCCCCACAAATAAGAAATATGCGTGACAATGATTATTAAACCTTTCTACTACAGCCATTCAATTTCACTGGATCCAGCATGATCTTTTTTTCCAGCTCAGCTGTCATTTGTTTTTAAAACTTGAATCATTTAGAGCAGCGCTCTCAGACATTTGTCACAGCTTCCGAATTCATAACTAGTTATCTGCAGGTGTTGGTTGCAGTTTCTAAACGTGTGTATTTTTGTGGATCGCATGCAATGGGAGTAGCTCGACCAAACAGTGGTAACGAGTAAATATTTATTTGGTTGGATGCTTAAACACAAAAAAAACTATGTGACTTCTGGGAAAGAACGTTTCTGATAAACATGTTTGTAGAGCTTTGTTCTAAAAAGGGTTTTAAGATTTCCTTCAAAAACGTGTAGTTATGTAAACCAGGGAAATCATTTCCATTTCCTGATAAAACATGGTGCAGAAAGAATCACGGTTTAATGAAGGAAAGATCTGGATGCAGTGGAGGGAGTCAAAACTTTCAATTGTGAACTTCACTAAATCATCATCTCATGGATGGTGAAGTCCCAAATAAGGTAAAAACACATTCTACATGCTAGCTCTTCTTTTACACACATTTTTTCAGGGCGTATGGCCTCGACTGAATCCTAATTTGGAAAAACTAATAAAAAAAAAAGACCTCATCTGTTCTATGATGGGAACAAAACAGCCAAATTGGCACAACATGTTAAATGTATTTCTTTAGCAAACTATCCCTCCGATCCCTGAATGAGCTTTTTGTGATGTGACAAATGTTGTGCTAATAACTGAATCCTGTCCAAGTCTTCTCCATACTACTGATGTGAAAACAGGAAGAGAGCAGCAAAATGTTCTCATAATAACTTCCTGACACTCGTCCAAGTATTCAGGCTGCCTCATTGCCTCGAAGCTGCCAATCTACACTCTCCCACCATCTGCTCTTTTCCCAGTCATTGAAAGAATTTCCCAGATGCACATAAAAACAAAATCTTTGAACATATAAATGTAAAAAAAAAAAAGGAGATGAAACTGTTCTGTGACATGAGTGTCTGAGTGTTTCTTGCGTGCTGAGTGCTGAGCTTTACCAACCTTTTCTCCCTGCAGGGAGGGTACTGAGTCCCGTAGGCTGTGAAAGCTGTCTTTGATGTGGTCCCTACGTTTTCGCTCCAGTGCATTATGGTGTGCCCGTTTGTCTGCCTGCAATGAGAAGTCACAGGGCCTTCAGCCTGGCAGCAGAGCAGCGTGGGTAGGAGGACAGCGGGTGCCCGGCCGTTCAGCCCCGCTCACACCTACACAAGCTGCTCTGCTGCAGAGTCTCACAATGCAGTGAGAGCACAGCTGCTACATGGCTTAAGATTCACTCCATTCACCATCAGAGAGCTTTGTCCTTCGTTTAAAACAACACAGGACCTCAGCATCATCAAACCTAACATAGAAGTCAAAATTCAGAAATTCTCTTAATTTGAAATGATTTTTATTCTAAAGCTGCCATTTTACAAAATATTACCTAAATAAGTCATTTAAACTCATCCTACCAAAGTTGCAGAACATTTAAGAAACAAAGTCAATAAAAGCCACAAAGAAAAACATAATTGTTATAATCTAGGGATATTAAAGACTAGTATTAGGGGAGAAGGGATGGAGAAGCCAACTTAAAGCTAATTTTTTTTTTCCTGCCCGAACAATGGCATGTGACAGAGATGGACGCATTATTTACTACTGGCTGTGGTGCAGAGGCTTGCATAAGCATGACAACCGCAGACGGCATTGCAATATGTGGATATGATCGAAACCACACCATATCCACGTCATATTTGTGATGTGGAGCCAAAAAAAAAATTATGCTTTTTAATTTTCTTTACAAGTGAAATCTGAATTAAAAAAATTGGAATCCATTTAGCTTCAGAGTCAGTAGATTGTAATGCAACCTTTAGCTGCAACTAATTGTCTTATTTTCTAGGTAACTTAAGTTCAGAAAGCATTTGAACATTAATAATCATAACTTGGTTTACATCTATAGTTGGATCTATATTCAGACTTTGACTAGACCATTCAAACACATAAATGGGCTTGATTTGACCATTCATGTTGCACTCTGCCTCTATATTTAATGTTTTTCCTGCTGAAAGTATTAGAAGGCATCAGCAGGCTTTCTAATGAAATGCATCCCCTAAAAATAATGGTTCTTCTACCGTGTTTCTAAGGTTTAAGAGATTATATGAGCTGTGCCAGTTTAGCAGGGTTTTTATTTTGTAGCTATGCCACATACTTTTATTTTTCACAAAATGGTTTGAAAAGTAGAAGGGAAGACATGAGTTTATTACTTAACCATTCAGAACATTATCCATGATTTGTTCTGTAGCCATAACGGTGATAACTGGCGGGATTCAGGATTTTATTTAGGGAGTAATGAAAATAGAAATCGGCATAAATTTGTGTTTGCCACGTAAAACGGCTAAATAAAAAATAGAAGTTTCCTTTTTTATGGAGAAAAAAATGTGAAAGTAAAGCAATTAATTTATGAGTCAGAACAAATTTTGCAGTGGATATTTTCCACAACACATCTAATAGTCCCAGACTGCCAGCAGAGCAGTTTAGTTTAGGCGTCAGCTTAACTCAGCAAAACAACTTTACTGGGATGCATCAACAGCAGAAGTCATGGTGGGGGCAAATATACAAAAGTTATCCATTACTGATGAGAAGAATATGGGGTGGGGGGGAGAATGGGTGACGGTAATGTAGGCCACGCTTCATTGGTTGTGGGTTTTTTTTTTTTGTGGCTCCTAACACTTGGTGGCACAAATATGATGTTATATTTAGACCAGAAATTTGGATTTTAGATTTTGACCCCGTCAGCAGAGGTACAGATCGTAAATGATCGCATTCACAAACAAAAATGTTGAATAGGATTACCGTATTTTCACGACCATAAGGCGCACCGTACTAAAAGGCGCAGTCTCAGTTATGTGTCCCATTTCTGTATTTAACACACACATAAGGCGCACCGGACTATAGGGCACATTTTTTATATACAGGTACATGTCCTCTACTACCTTTAAATAGCTCTACTGCGTATTTAAAAATACAGCGGGGGCAAAACTGAGTATGATTGTGCTTTATTCATGTATTTATTACAAAGTATTAATCAAACCTGGGAGCTGGCCGTGAGACAGACACATCACAGATGACAGCGCTGTGATCACTCCTAAATTGAAATCCTGAAACCTGCCGACAGAATACGTTCGCTTTTATTACCGGTATCCTGGTGCCTGCAGTTTAAATTATTTAGATGAAAAACACCTGCCAGCCACTGCATGAACCCAGAGGCTGCCCAGCCTAGAGGCTGCTGATGAACGGATTTCTACTGTCGGCGCACCGCTGGTATGTGGGGGTCTGAGCGCCTCCGACAGAAATAGATAATCTGGATGAACTGACTGCAATTATTAAGTTTTCAGGTGGCCTTTCTCACTTAAAAAACATATTAAAACTACTTTATTCCCACTGATCACAGCAAATATAGCTGCAAGATTTAGATTATTTAGATGAAAAAACACCTGCCAGCCGCCGCGGTGAACCCTGCCCAGATGCTGCTGTTGAATTAAGTTTTCAGGTAGAAAAATAGCTCGGGAGCAAAACTGAGTATGTTTGTGCTTTATTCATGTATTTATTACAAAGTATTAATCGAACTAGGGCTGCAACTAACGATTATTTTAAAAATCGATGAATCGGCCGATTATTTTTTCGATTAATCGATGAATCGGACAAAAATATTTTTTATATTAACCTCTTTATTCCAAAATAAACATTTTAGACAGAACAAACAAGCACACCAGTACAGGTTTCTCATTAACTGTACTGGTGCAATATGAAAAATAAATGTTTGTGTAAAAACTACGCAAACTTACATGAGAAATGTAGCTGTACATCCACAAAATATAGGCTACTTTGTTTCATAAAGCGCAAAAAGAGACAGGCATTTTTGTTTTTTAAAGCCCCTAAGGGGTTCAAACAATAGGTCCCCCCATTTCAACAAATGAGTTTTTTTTAGACTAGAAGAGTTCTGCCTTTTAAGACAGGAAAGTATAGCAGTTAAAGTTGCTGCTTGAGAAAATACTTAACCATAGAGATAAAATAGCCCTGTGATTCAAATTATAAATTGTATTTGGAATAAAAATGAGAGAACTAGGGGTGGTAAAAAAAACACATCCTCCAAAGACAGATATTTACATGGGAATGTGGCAGATAATTAATTGACATATTACTGATCTTGCTGGATTTTGTTCTGCTTTACTTCCATAAATTGCAGGATCTTCTTTTCTTTATCTTTGCCAGAAGATTTAAACTTTAAAAGCCTTGCCCTCATAATTTGCAAGTTAATTTATTTATAAAGAAAATATAAACGCTGCTTAAACAAATTTAAATGAAATTAAAAGTAAAATAAGTAGCCAACCTTATCACTGTCTGTAACCTACTAACACGGTAAGGAGAGCATCAGATGAGCTACCTGAGAAACTAACGTTACGTTTCCCCTCTTTAAAATGAAACAAACATGGTTACTCATCCTGCTGATCAGCTCTCTTCACTGCCATTGAAGGCTCCAACGTGTTTTCTTTTCAGGTGCTGCGTCATAACAGTGGTGCTTCCGTGCCATGGTCATTTGTTTTTACAAAAGTTGCATGTTACGACTTTTTTCACTTTACAAAGCGCAGGCTATTTTAATTATTGTGATCAATTTGCGCCGTCAATCCCGGCGCATGCGCGCTTCATTTGCAGTCTGGACGCTGAGGGTAGACTCCTCACTAAAATCCTGCGGCTCTGACTGCAGCGCTGAGAGGGATTCCTGTGGGAGAGGGAGAAAGGGGTTGGGATGGGGGAGGCGCCCCGCGGCGGGCAAAAGCCGCCAGTGACACCGTAAAAAGTCGCCAGATTTGTCGCCAGTCGCTTTTTTGAAAAATAGTCGCTGGGGGGGTCTGAAAAGTCGCTGAGTTGGCAACACTGCAACTGCGGCTCTGACTCGCTCCGCCATATTTTTTTTTCTTCCCCCGGATGACGGCGGCGGCGGATGACGCATTAATCGCGCGACACAACTAATTGATGATTAAATTCGTTGCCAACGCTTTTAAAAGTCGATTTTTATCGATTTTATCGATTCGTTGTTGCAGCCCTAAATCGAACCCATCAAAGTCCTCATCCTCTGTTTCTGAATTAAACAGCTGCGCTAAATCAGACATGCCAGTTTCCCATTCTTCGCTGTCAGAGTCACTTTCCGTGCAGCGCGGCTCCTTAGAAATAATGCCTGCTTTTGCGAAAGCTTGAACAACAGAGCCAGCAGACACGTTAGTCCAAGCATCTACAATCCATCCGCTAAAGGTGGCGTAACTTGCCAGGCGCTGCCTTCCACTTATCGTGAAACTGTGCTCTCCGTCTGTCATCCATCGCTCCCACGCCGCTCGCAGCCTTACTTTGAACGGCCGCTTCACACCGATGTCGAGCGGTGGAAGTTCCTTTGTCAGACCCCCGAGATAACGGCGAGCACAGCGTTCATTTTTTTTCACCATGTTTTTCACATCAGCTGTGAGATGGGCACGCATGGAGTCACATATTAAAAGCGATGGTGATGTGTGGAAAAAACCACCTGGTCTCCTCACATACACCTCCCTCAGCCACGCTTTCATCATCTCCTCATCCATCCAGCCTTTTTGATTTGCTTTAAAATCATATGTCATCAGAGCGATGTGTCTGTCTCGCTGTCAGCTCCCAGATCAGCTTCTCTGATTGGTTGATGCGGCGCGTCCAGCAGCAAAACTTAAATTTTTTCCATCTCGAGCAGCAGCAGCGCGTTGGCGGCGCGCTCCCGACTCGCTGCGCCTGCTGCTCAAAACGCGCTGCGGGACCTTTTGCTGCGTCTATACGCTCGTCAACCGTTGACTTTGCATGTAAACTCGCTGCTTCTGCTGCACCTGCTGCGTCCGGTTCACAGCGAGCACAGCATTAATTTGTTTCACCATGTTTTTCACATCAGCTGTGAGATGGGCACGCATGGAGTCAGATTAACAGCGATGGTGTGGTGATGAGTGGAAAAAAAAAACACCTGGTCTCCTTACATTCAGCCACTCTTTCATCATCTCCTCAATGAGGTGGTCTCAAAAGTCGCAGTTGCAACACACATAGGGCGCACCGCACCAAAGGGCGCACCG